TAAGGTAAACAAATTTTGAATTAGTTTGATCTGTACTTTCTTTGGTTGTGGATTTATTTCAATACAAATTGAACCAGTTTTGGGTGAATTGGACTCAAAATTCATTTCAGACTTGAACATGTCAACCAGATTTACTGAAGTTTGTCATGTAATATTCTGCATAAGTATGAGTGGAATTTCTCAGAATGAAATAGTCTCTATTTTCATGATATTTGTGTTTGATCAGAAGTATTGCTGACAATGCCCAACATTGATTGAAATACTAAATCAGCTATAGGTAGTTATAGGATAACATGATTTTAAGGGAAATTCCACATTGTGGACATTACATTCAGAAGCTAAAATTGTCATTTGATCTTTCCCTTAAGTGCTTAGAAATATAACTTTAGGATTATTTTTGTTTGGGCCTAGAAACTAATGGTCCTCCCCCACATTTTTGTGAAAAAAAAAACTACTTATGTATTTTCCTTGCAAAGATATAAATCAAAGAATGTGAGTTGTGGACATTACAAAAAAATCAACCAATAATTCTAGTGATCATTTTTAATTCCATTTTCCTGTGAATTGTTAACAGGTATAAACTTGTAAAATGGTTGAAAATATTCCCTAAAGGTGAAAGTTTATAACAGTACTGTGTTGAAAAAATCACCCAGGCAGAATAGCTTTGTGTGTTTGCAGTAAATAAAAACATGTGTTGTAGACATTACAATTAGGGGATATGGTATTGTTTTGATATAACATGCAATTTTAAGGATCTTATATGTGAATGTAATACCTTATTGCTCTTTTGGAGCTAATAAGCTATCACATAATATTTATGAATGTTAATTTTTTATGATAATGACATGGCCAAAAAACTATAATAATTACTGCATTATGTTATTTCAGTCTATTCAGGACAATTATTCTAATAGCATTTTATTAAGTATACACACCATTTTTAACATGCTTTTTTATATCATTATATTAAAAAATAAAGTAATTTCAAGGTAACTTGGAACAGAAACAGCAAAAATACCTTTTTATAAAACCTTTTTTTAAAACCAGAGAAAACCCAATAATGAATTTAATTTAGCAAAATTTGAAATTGCCTTAGAAATTCTGAAATAAAGAAATTTTATATTCTACATAGTCAGTGGTGTTTTGAATTGAGATCATGCTCACTGATTGCATAAAGTAATGAACATGATTACTTATGAAGACTGCTGACCAGTTAATTGACATTCCCTCTTTCTAACATTATTAAGTACTAAAACTTAGTGAATTATCATAGCAAAAACAAGCACAGAAAGGTACGAAAAGTTTAAGGCAAGGCTAAAAGATGTGAAAAGGTACAATGTGTTGAAGAGCAAAGACAGACTGAGATAGAAAAAGAGCAGAAAGTGGAGGCACT